AGGAGGAAGCAGGGGAACTGCCATGCCTCCCTCCCCTGTTCCCACTGCTTATAGAGAAGGGAATGGAGTCCAGTATTGCTGAATAAGAGCCAAAAATGCCTTTTGGCAAGTCTTTCTATGATGTCCTTGCTGTTTTGAGGAAGTCAGCATTAAATGCGCAGAGTACAGGAGAGGAAGGCTCCAGGGCTTGCATGGGACCTGGTTTGATGTCCTGCTCTTACTGCCTCCTTGACCCTGCTGTGTGCTGTGGTGGGAAGCTGTGCTTGCGGTCAGGAAAGGGGTTGGACACCTTGGGCTGGTTCCCATTGCCCCAGCCCTCACAACAGCTTCCCAACAATTCCCTGCGCCTCGGCTGTCTTGATGCTCCAGAGCTTGTGCTGATGTTAGTATCCCAGCTCAGGCGGACCCAAGCTCACACTGTCCTACAGCCTGTGAGAAGGAGGGACCAGCAAAGGTACCTTTAACCATGTCTTGGAACAGTACAGCCTGTGCCGTCACAGAGGCTCTCCTACCTGCGGTGGCAGTATAGGTGTAAGGAGACACCCAGGGTCCTTCCCCAGAGGCAGGCAGTGGGATCTGAGCAGAAAGCTCTGCAAAACCATCTCTGCCTTGGGTGGAGGCAGGGCATCAGGTGTGTGTTTGAGGAGTGGGACAGTTGTTGCTGGAGAAGTCCCCTTTTCCCTCCGGTGCTGCTGGAGGGCTTTTCCTTTCGTAACGGCAAGTATGCTGCTGCGCCCCAAGACTGTACTTGCTGCTGCGAGCGCCGCCTTTCCTCCCCGCCTGAGCTTTGCTTAAAACACTGCACCCAACGTCGGCTGCCTCCAGGACCAGCCCTGCACCTTGCAGCGTGGGACATGTTGCAACGTGCCATGCCTGGTTGAGGGTGGGGACCAAGGGTGCCCTGGAGTGGCCGTCTGAGACCAAGGTGGAAACTGAGTGCGAGGACAGAGGTATTGCCAAGCCCATGGGTTGCGCTGTGCCTGCCAAGACCAGACAGCCATCTGCTCAGCCGATAGGCTCCTGGGGGAGGTCTTTAGATGAAGGATACTAGGTAGACACTATCAATTGAGCCTGCAGAGATGGTTGCTGAGCTGCTTCTTAGTTGCCTCATTTGTGTTGCACCTTGGTGGGTCTGACTTGAAGGGATGAAGGACAGTGGCGCCCAGTGATAGGATGAGGGGTAATGGGCATAAACTTGAACATAGGAAGTTCCATCTTAATATGAGAAGGAACTTCTTTACTTTGAGGGTAGTGGAGCACTAGAACAGGCTGCCCAGAGAGGTGGTGGAGTCTCCCACTCTGGAGACATTCAAAACCCGCCTGGACGCTGTCCTGTGCAACGATTCTGTGATTCTGTGATTCTGTGATTCTGTGATTCTGTGATTCTGTGATTCTGTGATTCTGTGATTCTGTGATTCTGTGATTCTGTGATTCTGTGATTCTGTGATTCTGTGATTCTGTGATTCTGTGATTCTGTGATTCTGTGATTCTGTGATTCTGTGATTCTGTGATTCTGTGATTCTGTGATTCTGTGATTCTGTGATTCTGTGATTCTGTGATTCTGTGATTCTGTGATTCTGTGATTCTGTGATTCTGTGATTCTGTGATTCTGTGATTCTGTGATTCTGTGGATGGGATGGCAGGTCACCTCTAGCCTGCCAACGGGTGTGCCTGCAGCTGGGGGAGCTGTAAGGACAGAAGTGCTCCAGACATCTCTGCAAGCTCTCTCAGCCTTCCCGCACACCTGAAGCATCTCTGTCTCTGTGGGGAGCCCCTTCTTGTGCTTACCAGCCAGGCAGGAGGTTGCATACCTAAGGATGGTGCTGACTGCGGCTGTGCCACCTGGCTGGGCTGATGAAAAGGCAGCATAAGCCTTGGGCATATGCCACAGCTTTTGTATTACTAGGTATTCTGGCTGGGTTACTGGAGAGGCTAGGAAGGTTTATCTCCAGTCCCTACTAGTCCATCATCTAGACTTCAGAAAAAAAAAAAAATGCATCTCTGGGACCCGTCTCTCTGTAATGTGGCTTAAATTACCCACAGGCTTGCAAAGTTTGTCTTGAACACATAATGGTTTGTATAAATAATGATTATGATAGGGTCATAGGCAATGTGAGCATATGAGCCTCGTTTCTTTTAGAAAGACGACTGGAAAATGGAGCTATAAAACATGCAGGAATGAGGTAAATAGTTTGGTCTCTGCAAAGGAAAATCATACTTCCCTGATCTGTTGCAAGTTTTTCAGTACTTCGATAAAATAATAGATAGTATTTGGCCAGCTTGTGTAACTTGCTTGGATGTTCAGAAAACCTCTGAAATTCCTCACGAAAGACTGTTAAGAAAACTGTCCACTGGATGAGATGTAGTCCTGGATCAAAAACTAGCTGAGGGTCCACAAACAAAGCCTAGGAGTGAATGAGCAATTTGAGTGTGACAAGATCAGAAGGACAAGGTCCTTCACTATTAATGACCCAGGAAAGATAATGTGCAGCAAGGTACCCGAAATCTGCCAGTTACCCCGGTGTCGTTCAGATTTGTCAAGATGAAGCAACTCCAAAGTGATCCTGTGTGAAGCGAAGTGGTGTGAGGTGAGGAGAAAGTGGGTACTGAGAAGCATGCAACTGGATGTTTTGGAAGGAATGATTTGTTCAGGGACATGGCTGGCTTCTGAATTACTGTGGCTACTCAGGGCAGCAGAATTGCAGGCCAGTTACAGAGACGTTTTTCCTCAATAAGCAAAGATGCCATCAGAGAAATAAATTGTGCTCAGCTGCATGAGGAGCAGCGTAAGGAGCGATGCTGAGAGCATCAGGATACTGTTCTGGCAGTCAAGGTTGTTTCCCTACCCAGGATATCATATGCGGTTCTGGTCACCTCTCTGTAGGGTCAAAAGAGTGGAGTATATTGGGGGTGGGTGGTGAGAGTGGTTAGAGCTGGAAAACACCTCATGTCATGGGAAGGAGAGAGCACTTAATAGCAGTGAGCTTAGTAGGTCTAGAAAAAGCAAAGGCTTTTATTCTTTGCCTTTTCTCGCAATGCAAGGAGAACTGAAGGCTGTGGAGTTGCAGTGAGATTGTAGTATTTTATTCAACATGTGAAACTCATTGCTGCAAGGTACCATTTACAACCTAAAAACTTACAAGATTCCCAAGAAGAGGAGCGAGAGGTAGTTCTCTTTGCAATGAGTCTATCCAGGCTGACACTTCAGAGGTGAAAACAGGGGTGTAACTGTTCCAACTCCAAAGCATGTGACTTCCCTTTGGTGAGTCTCACCCCATCATTTCTTCCCATCCCTCCCCTGGAGCTTCAAGTCTCTCATTAATTCAACCAGGGTGAATTATCCTGCCTGGCTTCCCAGTTGGTTCCCAACTGCGATCTTGTGGCTTGATTTTCTTCTCCTGCTTTTCCACTCCCTTTTTCTGTTCATGGCTGCTTGGTGGCCTTTCCAATTTGGTTGACCCTCCTCAATGCCTGTACCTAGCCAGGCTTTTGCTCATCGAAGTGCCCTTTGTCATCGGTGCTTCAGCTGGTTTGCAGCTGTGCATCTGTCCCAGCTGAACTGAGAGGGATCACTTTGAAGCCGAGCTCTCTAGGACACCGTAGCGAACGGTTTGGTGGTCATTATCCAGCCAGTGTTGTGCTGCGATGCTGATAAATCTCTGCAGCCAGGCGGGAGATTGTCAGGATAATATCCGTGAGCTGGAGGGAAGAGCTGTGCACCCTCTCTGCTAATGTTACCACCCAGCGTGGAGCTAGCAGGGCAGAGCTGGTGGAAAGGGGCCTCTCTGGGACAAGAGGCTGAAACCAGCAGAGGGCAGTGGTGGTGGCTTTCTCCTGCTTTGGGCAAGTGATGGCTCTTTTGCCCAGCCCACCGGGATGGAATTTCTGGGCTTGGCTAAGCAGATCCTGAGCATTGCCCAGCAGTGACACTGTGCCAACTGGTCTTTCTGCTTGCTACATGGTGGTAGGGAGGGATTTGGGGTGGTTGGTGGGTGCTCGATAAGAGGGGGTGGTTCACGGATCAGTGGCCTGGATACATCATCCCATCTGTTGTTGCTGCTTCCTTCTGCAGCTGGTGGGGTTTTCTCTCCCCTGTTCCACGAAGTGGTTGTTGATTTGTTGTTTCTAGACTATCCCGGTGATGCTTAATTTGCATTTATCCATAGCTAGCATGGTCTTCTCTGTGTTTCCCATGGATCTGCTTTGCGAAGGAGGAAGGTCTTCCTATGTCCAAGCAGTGGTGCTACAGTGATGCTGACCCAAGCCCAGCTGTGGGGCTTGTAGCAATTTGAGGAGGGCACTGAAATAAATAAAATATTTGATCAGCTAGATGGTAGAGCCTGGGCCTCCTCTCTGCCCTCTGTGTGGTTGCATCTAAATGCATTCAAGGCAGCGGAAGGAAACAAGCAGGGGGTGTAACCAGCCCCTGATGGGTGCCCTGGGAGCTGGGGGCTGAGGCCCACAGTGAGCGGAGGGTGGTGATTCAGCCTAATAAAGCTAATGGCACGCAGCTAGGCAAAGGAAATTGTGGGATCATGATGCAGCAACTGTCCCGTAGCAGTTTGTTTCCGTCATCCAGACGTGACTTCATGTCCCCACCACCCCACCCTTTCATTCTTTCCTGTACCCAAACGTTCTCCCTGCTGAGGGAAGGGGCTGAGACACTGTGTCCTCAAGAAGAGGAGTCGTCTGTGAGAAGGAGGTGCAGCTAAATGGTGTGAGAGTTGGGGAACAAGGAAGGGAGCTTTGGGACTGTGCATGGTGGCACCACAGCTGCTGAAGCACCCAGCCTCTTCCAGCACCCCCCAAACTCAGGAGGCTTCTCCAGATGACCTTGTCCTTAGACGCTGTTTCTCAGGGAAATCCTGTAGCACAGAGGAGCCTGAGAGAGCAGGCAAGGTTGGACCCTAACTCCAACAGGGCTATACTGTCATCCAGCTGCTGTGTGTCTAATCGGGCCTTTCTCTCCTTTCCCCAGGGAAGACGATGAAGCTGTAGAGATGCTTCCCTACGTGATTGCCACCCTGGGCTCAGCAGGGGCCGCCTGCAAAGCCTCCACATGCAACAACAGCACCAAGGACTACTGCTACAGTGCCCGCATCCGCAGCACTGTGCTGCAGGGGCTGCCCTTTGGTGGGGTGCCCACTGTCCTAGCCCTCGACTTTATGTGCTTTCTCGTAAGTCTACCTACTGCTGCTTCAGCACTGTCTCCCCTGATTAGCCGTGAAGGGAGGGCTGTGGTCGGGTGGTTGAGTTGAGGGCCCCAAATGCCATCCCAGACTTTTCTGCTGGCTGACTTTATGGTCTTGATAGTCTCGCTTAGCCACCATTGAGCTGCACTGAGCCCATGGAAGGGTGTTGCAAATTTTCCTGAGGACATGCGTCAGGTTAGGTCAGTCCTGCATCCTAAAACTCCGGTTTGTGATGCCAAGTCCCTGCAGCTTTACCCACCCAACGGCTTTGCTTGTTCCTCCTTAGGAACTGCAGGACCACATATGCTGGACCAATAATCTCACCTCCTTGGGACCTGAGGGTCTTTTGATCCTGTGGTTAACTTGGCTAGTGTGAGAGGGGAGGGAGGGTGCGAGGTGGATGGAAACAGTCTTTTTTCAGTGGTGCCCAGTGATAGGACAAGACGTAACGGGCACAAACTTGAACATGGGAAGTTCCATCTAAACAAGAGGAGAAACTTCATTCCTTTGAGGGTGGCAGAGCACAGGAACAGGCTGTTCAGAGAGGTGGTGGAGTCTCCCACACTGGAGACATTCAAAACTCGCCTGGACGCCGTCCTGTGCAACCTGCTGTAGGTGACCCTGCTCTGGCAGGGGGGTGGACTAGATGATCTCCAGAGGTACCTTCCAACCCTGACTGTTCTGTGATTCTGTGTGTTGGATCCTGGACCTCTGCCTTCCACAGCCATCCAGATAGTCTGATTTTACCTGTGGGGAACTTGTGCTGTTGCACAAGCCTCAGTGTGCTGTTAGCTGAGCAATCCTGTCCCCTCCCACCCTCCCTGTTCCCATGGCTCTGCATGCAGAGGACAAGGATGGAGCTGGACAACGCCTAATGTCACAGCTCTTCCTTTGCTCTCTTCCAGGCACTGTTGTTTGTCTTTTCAATTTTGCGTAAAGTTGCTTGGGACTACGGACGCCTGGCCCTGGTGACTGATGCTGACAGGTAAGCGTGGGAGAGGGGCAGGAAAACAAGGCATGAATAGTACCCTTCTTTACTGCTGGGCAGAAGGGATTAATCCCCTTGCATGTGCTGGAGGCAGCTGGGCAGGAGAGGCAAGAATGCCGGTTGTATACCCTGAGTTCCAGGAATAGGAAAAATCCCTGCTTACCGGCTTTTTTTGTTACAGCATCCTTCTCCTAACACAGGGAGTAGTGCCCCCTGGCTCCACACCACTTATGGTCCCTACAGTGATAGAGGTGTGCAGGGGCCCTTACAGAGGAACAGCAGATGGAAGGGAGGGAGGAGAGGGGGAAAGAGGTCACAGGAAGGGTGAGGGCTGCCACAATGAAGGCTTTGTTAAGCCTCTAAAGGTGTCTTTGTGGCTCTGCTGGATGTAGTTCTTGTTAAGAGCACTTGAAAGTGGTAGGCTGCATTTCCAGGTGCGGTACTGCTGTGCTAATGTGAGTTTAGCTTGCATTGCAAGTGCTGACGAGCCAGTCTGGGTATGGATCCTTCCTGCCCAACGCATTCGTGGGCTACAGTGTCTGTTGGCAAAAGCCGAGGCCCGTTGGGGATGGCAGCTCCACAGCACAGTGAGATGCTATTCTTGTTTTTGCTGTTAGCAGCAAGGACAGTGATTATTTTCTTCCAGTGCAGAATAAGGAACTCTCATTGATTAAGCTAAGAGGGGTTGTGTGTGTAGTCCGCCTCTCTCCAGGGACGGTTCACTGTGCCTGTGGCGCTTTGTCATGTGCTGGAGACAGTGTGGCTTCTGAAGGCTGGCTGCAATAGGTCTATTCCCCTTGATCAGCTCCATGAGCTCATCACACCCAAAAGCTTGGATGGGACTAAGCTCCAGCCTCTTTAGTTCCTTTAGCCATACCAATTCAAACAAACTACTCTTGAGCACTCCGTGCATGACAGTGGAAAGAGTAAGAGTTGTTTTCTTCCAGCACTGAACCAGGAACTCTCCTGGTTTGGATAAACAGTCTTGGATAGCATTAGATAAGCAGCTGTGTCCCCGTGGCTCCTCTGCCCCTCTTTTCCTGGCCTGGCTGGGGAAATCAGCAACACCAGGGGCCTTGGGAGAAAGTGAGGAGTAGGGAATAGCTGGATTAGACCTCACTGGGGAGAGGGCAGCAGCTCCTCGGGGTTAAGCTATCTGGACCCAAGCACTGGCTGGTAGCCACGGAGGCTGAACAGCTCTGACCTTCAGCGAGGAGAGAGGGCTGGCCCTCCTCAGAGGCGATGCTTGGGTGCGAAGGAACAGGAGCAGCGGCTGTAGGCAGAAAGGCAGAGGGGTGCCAGCCGTTTGGCGAGGGAGAGCTGGTAAGCCTGGGGAGAAGGGACAGCATGGCTGTGGTAAGGGTGTCACCAGGACCGGGTTCCCGGGGAGGAGCCCCTGCTGCTTGGCCCATCTGTGAGGTGGCATGAGCATTTCAGGAGGGCGGGATGCAAGTGTGTTGGCTGCCTGGAAGGCACGGAAGGGGAACTCGCATGGTGGCTGGGCAGCCCTGGCAGGCTGCTCTGCCTGGTCCTGTCCCTCAGGAGCTCCCTGGGACACCCATGGTGTGGAGCCAGGCCACCTTCCCAATGAAGCTAGCTTCCCTTTTGCCAGCAGCAAAGCACTCTGCTCCTGGGCTGGTGGGGGCTTTGGGGTGTTGTGTCTTGGGGCGGTGCTGGGATCTGGAAGGAAGGTCTTCTCCAGCGTGACCATCAGCAGGTTTCTCTTCCTCAGGATGGTGTGGAGCCATGTCGGGTGCTTAGCTCCCTGCGTCAGAGGAGCCTCAGCACGTGCTCCCGTGGTTGTAATCTCTCCCTTTCTGTTTCTGTGCCCCCAGGCGTCGACACTGGCAGACGGAGCGAGAGGAGCGGGAATAGTATGTCGTTTTTTCAGGGTCTCATTTATTCTCTTTCTTGCTCGTACTCTCTCTCTCCTTTTCTCTTGCAGTTTTCTGTCTCGCTTTTGAACTAATCTTAAGTGGCTGGGAGTTTGGGCTTGGAATTGTGCCTCTCGGTGGATTCATGCTGTTCTTTTTCCCCTCACCTTTCTGTCAGCCACTACCACAGCTGGATGCATTCTGTTTTTCCCCTAGTAGCACTCAAATGCTCCTTAAGGGCAGTAGTGCTGAGGAGCTTCCAGTCCCAGCCAAGGTGGAGGGTGCCTTGTCACATACCCTGCTCTACCTGCCTGTGTCCAGCTATTCCACCTTATGATGGAGAAAATAAACCCAGTTGCCTGAGCCCACAGCATACTCAGGTCACCCAGGCGCGGGGGAGCCTCCTGTGCCTGGTCCCTCTTGTGCCAGGGTGCTGCAAGTGCTGCTCCCGTGCCAGCTGCGAGGGCAGGTGGGTGCATGGAGAGGATCTGACAGGCAGTTGCAAGACTTCTTTTTCCTTTACCCACGTGAGGCTGCCAGTACCAGGGCAAGTGTTGGCCTTTGTCTCTTTCCACCTACCCCCAGCTGGCAGCATGCCTGGCAAGGCAGCACCTTTGTCCTTTCTCTCTCCCTGCAGAAGCAAACTTCCTGCCTCAGCGCTGCTGAGAGCATCCTCCAGCACCTTGGCCTAGTGTTGTCCATTAAGCACTGCTGTGGACCCTCCCTCCCTGCTCTTTCTTTCCTCTTTCTTGCTGCTTTCATGCCTAAAAAAAAGAGCATCCCCCGTGCCTTGCTGACTGGATGGGTGGTACCTGCTGCAGAGGGCACAATCAGCCGGCAGGACAGAGCCTGTGATGGTCACCCTGGCCAGGCTGACGCATGTCTGAGGCTGGGGGAGGAAGCTGCAGCCTCACTTCTCCATCACTTGCAAAGCAGGTACCTGCCACTGCCTTAAGAGGGTACAGGGATGTTCCTGTATCTGTAGTTGCTCCTTCCCCCCAGAGGAGCAGAGCAGTTGGAGCTGTGAAAACAGAGGTGGTGGTAGCTGTGGTACATGGCATAGAGGGGACCCCTCGCTATGCTTGAGTGCTTCGCTACTGGTTGGCCCTGCTTCGGGTGTGTCTGGCAAGTTGTCACTGCTAACACCTTGCAGGAGGAGTAAGGCAGAGGTAGCAGAGCTGTCATGTTCTGAGGCTTCTTGGGGGGCCACCTCAGTTATCCTCACAAGTGCTCATCTCTCTCCGAGGGGCTGCTTCTTCCTGTTCTCCTTCTTCATCTGGGCTTGCTGGAGCTCTCTGCTGCCCTTCCCCCCCAAAAACCTACTGGTTGAGCTGGGATGGTGTTGGTAGTCAAACTTCCAAAAGCCTGTGGAGCTCAGCAAGGAAACCATGTCCTGGCTGTGTTCCTCCAAGGCTGGTGGCAGCTTCCCATCCCAGCTGTTCTCTGTGCTGGGCTGCAGTGGCACGTGGTGGGTTAAGGACACGTGTACGCTGCCTGGTGCTGCCAGCCGTTGAATGTGCAGCATTGCTCCTGGTGCAGGAGGACATGCTGCTCAGATGTGTCCCTTTGCCTGAGAACTTGCAAGTCCACTTGTCCTGCGCCTTGCCAGGGCTTGTGGTAGCCATCGACACTCTTAATCAGTGACTCAGTCCACACGGGGACGTCATGGCAACCCACCTGCACCTCTGCATGTAAAGGCAGTGATCACAGAGCCCTGTGGGGCTTGTCACCCACGCAGCTACCTCCTGCCTTGCACAGCAGCCAGCACCTTCCTCAGCATGCTTGGCCTCCTCTCCCAGAGCCTCCAATTCCCTTTGCCTGAGGCTAGCCATGCCTCAGACCCCATCTTCCCTCCCTGGCAAATCTGGGGCAGTAGACAGGGTCCCACAATAATCTTCTCATGGTTTAGGGCAACCTTGCTTCCACCCGCTTGCTTTTTTAGTGTTTTGCTTTAAAAAGCCGCCAGCTAGTTGGAGGTACCATTGGAACTCCCTCTTCAGCTTCCCGTTTTTGGCAATGTTCTGTCTTCTCAGCACTGCCGGTCATCCTGATTATCATCTCTGCATCCCGCTGAATGGAGCTGAGTTAGCCTGATCATCTCATAACATGGCTCTCTTCTCATTTTTTTTCCTCAAGTGCTGCTTGTGTTCTGCCCACTGCTTTTCCGGTACTGAGGAGTTGAAAGCACACTGTGTGATCATGCTGGGCTCTCCTTGGGGCTGCGGACAGCAGAAACTCGCCCTCACTCTGTGCCCAGCTGGAAGGCCTCTGGGATTTTATAGGGCTGAAGATCCGAGAGCTTGGTCAAAGCTCGCTCCGTCCCTCCAACAGAGCAGGGTATTGGGCTGTGCGCTCGCAAGCCTGCACACCACTGTCTAATCTGCACTCCTGTAGTCCCATGACCTTCAGCTAATCTCCTTTCCCCTCTTTCTGTTACTTCCAGCTAGGGACTCAGCAGGTGCTGCTCTGCTCTGAGGGAGACCACGTGTCCCATCCTCTTTCCTTCGGTAGGGTCACGAGGGTCTTTGCTTGTTCTCCTTCCCATAGTGTCATCCGCGTCGTCTCTGGCACGTGTCCCTCAGCTGCTGCTTCTCCAGGTTCTTGTCTATCTGATCCTCCTTGAGCCTGTATTGGTTACAGGGAGACCATGTTTTCATCTGGGTTATTTTGCCTTTGCTTCTAGCCTTCAGATCAACCATATCTTTTCTGGCACCTCCGAGGTCCTGGCCTGCTGTTGTCATCTTGCAAGTGCTGTTAAATTTAGGTCTCTGGACCATTTTCTTATCTCCTTTGCCAGCTGCCCTCTGCCTCCATTCGTAGTGGGGGTTTATTGTCTGCCTTGGATGCTTCTGCTGCAGATTCTTCATCTAGGTCCCTGCCTGCACCTGGAGTAAAATGGTCTGGGATGTTCACCTCTCTTGCTTCCCTGTCCTTTAGCCTGCAATCATTCACTTCCAGCTGTCTGCCCTGCTCCTCCTGGAGGGATTTCCAGGCAGGAGGCCCAGCTGAGGCTGTGGAGCAGGTTGGGCTGAGCCTGGCTCCAGGCAGCACAGCCGCTGGGGCTCAGCTGTGTTCCTTCTCCTCCTGGGATTCCCTGCACTGAAGCACTAAGGGCAGGGAGGACTGGTGTAGCGGGATACAGCGCACCAGACTCCCAGCCTTCCTCTTCCCTACGGCGAGTGAGGCAGGAGCTGCTGCCAGCGCCTCTCCAGAGCACCTGGGCTGCCGCCTCGTGGCAGCACCGGAGCCAGAGGGGCTGTGGCACCCCCTGGTTCCCACTTCCTCTCCTCTGTCTAAACCCTGTGCTAAAGAGACCTCATCTCTCCTCTGTGGCAGCTGCTGCCAGCCCCTCCTCGCAGGGGCTGCTGCATAATGCAGGTGCTTCTCAGAAGGTGCGGAGCGAGTAGCATCCACGGCCAACCCCGTGGGGGCTGCCAGGCTCAGCGTGTTGTCTGAAGATGGGACTCTGCTTACTGCTACCTCTGCTCTCTGATCTCCCCTCTCTCCATCTCATCTGGGGAAAACTGACCTGAATTAACCTCTGATCTTCTGGGTGCTCTTCGTTCCTGACCAGGCTGCCTCCTTGCATCTTCTAACTTTTTCCCTCACCTCCTGCTTGTCATTTTAGCGTAGCCTCCGCCCTGCACTCCGACAACCATGACCGCTATGAGCGCCTCACCTCCGTCTCCAGCTCTGTGGACTTCGACCAGAGGGACAACGTGAGTAGCAGCAATAGTCAAAGACCTTGCCTTTGAGTGGTCAGGAGCCCACAGCTTGTCTGAACCAAGGGCTCTTTGGAAAAAACACAGTTTGCTCTTCCCCAGTGCCGTAGGTCCCACATCTTATAGTGCGTGAGTGTTGTATAAAGCTTAAGGCTCTATGTAACTATGTGGCTTCTAGACCTGTGCTTAATTAAGTAGGCTATACATTCCTGTGGCTTAACAGATATTTGTCCAACCTATCATCTCAGCATTACAAACAACACTTGCCAGCTCCTCCTGGCAACCGCTGTCTACCTCTGCTGCCGTTTTCCTCTCTAAAGGGGAGGCCCAGTTTAGCAGGGTAACAGGGTGTGATGGATGGGTGATGAAGCTCCCAGGAAATATTCCTTCCCCAGGTGTCCTTGGAGGAGCACTGGCTTGGCCCAGCCTGCCTTCCCAGTCCTTGCAGAGCTCCTCTTGACCAGGATGATGGCTGAAGTACCTGTATGGTGAATTTTCTGGGTGTCCCTAGGCTGTGGAGAGCTTCCGTGCTAGCCAGGAGCCCACAGGTCACCTGGGAGGTTGAGCTGCCTGTTGGTAGGGGATAGCCATATGTCAGATTCCAGCCTGTGTTGTGCCCCATTGAGTAGCACTGTCATCCCCTTCACCTTGGCCCATCCATGGCTCTGCACGTCTGGGTGCTCATGGTCTGTTTTCCGCTGAGCCAAGTCTGTGGAGGTGCAAGGACACCAGCCTGGTCCCCTGAGCCTTTGAAGGAGGGAGCAGGGATAAGGGAACACAGAGTGATGTGAGACCCTCCTGTCTTCTTTCTGCACAGGGTTTCTGCTCCTGGCTGACAGCCATCTTCAGGATAAAGTAAGTGCCCCGGGACCTGCACGGGAGACCCACCTGGGGAAGAAGGAGAGACAGTGCAGGCTGTTGAGACACCCAGCTCAGTGCAGCTGTGTGAAGTTGCTGCCCTTGCTGGATCCCCTCCTCTGAAGAGCACAAGCAAAGTGTGCTCTGGAGAGGACAAGCAAAGACGGGACTAGATGAAGAGTCCAAATGCCAAAACTAAGGTCAAGCACTGAGTTTGTGACAGAGGAGAGCACCTAGCCCAGGTCTCCCCTGCCTCAGTCCTGTCTCAGAAACACCGTCCTCTGCTCTGCAGAGGTGCTTCTCTGTCTGGGACTCCTGCTAGGGACACTGCTGTCCAAAGAATGGCTACAAAGTAGGGAGTGGAGGAGGCAGGTAGACACTCCCAGCCTGATGATGCTCAGGAGTAGTCTTGGCTTCAGAGCGCTGTGGGATCGTGTCAGCCATTCTGTATCTCAGCAGGGGAGGCAAGGCCTACCAGAAGATTTTGTGTGTGTCCATCTGCCTGTCCGGGGAGGGCAGAGGACAGGGGCATGGGGAGTGGGGCTGCAGTGAAGATTGCACAGGTAAATTTCTGCCAACGCTGGTTCAAGGCTGGGTGCTGGGCTCCCTACCCTGGGGCCTGGCCACAGCTCTGTAGGGCAGGACCAGGGGTGCTGTGTGGGCTCAAACCAGGAGGGCAGCCACGACCCTGTGCTTTTCTCCAGCACTTGAGGGAATGTAGAAAATTGCCTGACAGCCTTTCTCTCCCCGGCAGGGATGACGAGATCCGGGACAAGTGCGGGGGTGATGCGGTGCACTACCTGTCCTTCCAGAGGCACATCATCGGGCTGCTGGTGGCCGTGGGGGTGCTCTCCGTGGGCATTGTGTTACCTGTCAACTTCTCAGGGGACCTGCTAGGTGAGAGCAGGGAGCCTGTGGCTGGGCTGGGGGAACTGCTTTCAACACCATGTCCCGGAGCAGTGGAGGGCAGGACAGGACTGACACAGACAAACCCTGACTGCTGTCCCACTTTGAGCGTGGCACATCCAGAGGGTCATCCTGGGCAGCTTGGGTTTTGGGGTGTTGTGCAGGTGAGATTCCTGCCATTGCCCACCCCAGTGGTTCTCTGTGCCACTCAATATAACTGAATGTGCTTGTGTCTGTCCCTTTCTCCCTAGAAAACAACGCCTACAGCTTTGGGAGGACAACTATTGCTAACCTGAATTCTGGGTATGTGTGGGCAGGGGTGGGATGGATAATTGAGGCCCTCGGGGGTATTTTGTAAATGTCCACTTGCTGCAGAGCCTCACCTCCTTGGAGGTTTTCTGCACTCACTGTGAGGCTACTGTCCCTGCCCCAATTTCCAGGCTGAGCTCCTGGAATTTGGTTGTAGGGCACGTGGGTGCTGTGCTGGTGCAGTGCCTTCAGGGCCTGACCAGCCATACACAGGCTCATAGTGGCAACCTTGCATTGACCTTTGTGGTCTCCATTGTGACAGGAATAACCTGCTGTGGCTGCACACGTCTTTCGCCTTCTTGTACCTGCTGCTGACAGTGTACAGTATGCGCCGGCACACCTCCAAGATGCGCTACAAAGAGGATGACTTGGTGAGCAGGATCTGGCCACTCTCCCAGGCACACTTTTCCATGCCCTTCTGTCAAGTCAGGTGGCCTTGGAGAGAGTGCTGAGCATCCTATCTTCCCACAGCAGTTTGGGGCTGTCTTGTTTTGTCTGTTCTTTTATTCTGCCTGGCCAAAGGCAGATCTCTTCCAGAGCAGCAGCCCTGACTGCGGGGTGAACGTGTCAGGGGCACCCCGTGCCTTCCTCAGGCGTTGCTCCAGCTGCTTTTGCCACCTTCATTTCTTAAGCATAGCCCCTGTTTCTGTTCGGGTAGCTGCAGTGTAAGCCCCTAGTCTGTCAATCTGCAGCACATCAGGGTGCAGGATGCCAACAGCTAGTGGAAGAGGAGAGGGGGAGCCCTGCGTGCTAGAAGTGATGGGGCTGCCCTTTTCCATCACTGACTCAGGCCTTGGCGGTAGGCATTGCTGCAATCCAGTCTTTCACACCACCCACACCTACCTGCCCTCTCTTTTTTTCTTTCTTTCTTTCTAGGTTAAGCGAACTCTCTTCATCAATGGGATCTCAAAATATGCTGAGCCAGAGAAGATCAAAAAGCATTTTGAGTGAGTCTCACTGTGACCCTAATTAAAGGCTGCTCTGTAACAGGGATGTTTTTATTGGGGTAGTGCTAGTGTTACCTGGAATGGCAATAATACATTGAGAGCAGAAAGCTAGTAAAAATCGGTGAACACTTATTTTTGGAATCTCACTGTTATTTTTCTGCACAAATTTTTATCTGAATGTGCGGCATCCTTGGTTTTGTGCCTTGGGGTACCCGGCTATCTCTTCCAGAGCCATAGGGGGTCAGCGTGGTAAGTAGTGTACAGGGCATGTCCTGAGATGTAGTCAAGTTAAGAGATGAGGTGCAGGCAGGAGGCGCTCAAGCAGTGACTACGAGATGTTGTGCTGCTGCTTCTGCCCTGATTGCAGTTCTTGTAGAAAAGTATATTTTCCTTTTTAACACAAAAAAAAGTAAATTACTCTTCCTTCAGGACCTTGATGAACATGCTGTCAGGGCTACGTTTAGAAGCACCGTGGGAAGAGGAGAAATTCTCTGTACCCTTTGGGAACCCTTCTGTCTCTTTCCAACCCCAAGCCCTCTGGCCCATGAAAGCAGAGAGGGAGTGTGTGGTCAGAGGGGTGCCTTGCTCCACAGAATGAGAGTCCAGAGAGGCTTCTCGTGCCAGAGCCTGGAGGATGTAGCGTTTGCCTCACGTTGCTTCTGCTATAAGGGACAGAGCCTGCAGGCTCCCCTGCTGCCTCTAGCAAGCTCTTGTTATGCATCATGATGCTTGGCCTGGGGCAGGAGAGAAGTCCTGGATACATGGGGTTTGCTTGAGGAATTACAGCGTTTGGTGTCGGGTGTGATGAGCCGGTGCTTCCCATCCACAGGGAGGCCTACGCTAACTGCACCGTCCTGGAGGCCCGTCCCTGCTATGATGTGGCCCGGCTGATGTTCCTCGATGCAGAGAGGTAACTCCTGGTTTGGGAGAGAAGGCAGGGTGGGCCGATGCTGCAGGCTTCCCCTCAAGTCCAGTGCCACAGGATCTTTTCTGATCCACCATCTTTCTTTCTTTCCTTCCTTCCTTCTCTTCTGCTTTCCTGTTTCAGGAAGAAAGCTGAGCGGGGGCGAATCTACTTCACTAACCTGCAGAGCAAGGAGAACACCCCGTCCATGATCAACCCTAAGCCCTGTGGCCACCTGTGCTGCTGTGTCATCAGGGGCTGCGAGGAGGTGGGGGGAGAGCTGGAGGTGTTGGGCGGTGGGGCACATAGGGGCTTGAGTCCCCAGGTCTCTGCTCTGACCCCTATCCTCCTGCCCAGGTGGAGGCCATTGAGTACTATACCAAGCTGGAGGAGAAGCTCAAAGATGACTACAAGCGGGAGAAGGAGAAGGTGAACGAAAAGCCTCTGGGGATGGCCTTTGTCACCTTCCATAATGAGACCATCACAGCCATGTGAGTGCAAAGGGTCCTGCCTTCCCCAGGAAGGTGACCTGTCCCAGCTCTCAGCCTAAATCAGAGGAATGCCAGCACCAAGGCATCCCCCTCAGCTTGTCCCTGCCAGCCCTGTGTTAAGATCTCCCTCTTTCTCTTCTTCTCCAGAATCCTCAAAGATTTCAACGCTTGTAAGTGCCAGGGCTGTGCATGCCGTGGGGAGCCCAGGGCCTCATCCTGCAGCGAGTCCCTCCATGTTCCCAACTGGACCGTCAGCTATGCTCCTGACCCACAGAACATCTACTGGTGAGCAGCTCTGGGGGCCTCAGTGGGCCCTGCCAATGGGAAAGGGGGTGCGCCCTCCCTGTCTCCCTCCCCATCTGCTCCTCTAGTAACTGAACGAATTGTTCTTGCTGAAGCCGAGCCCGGCTGAGCTAGAGGTCTGATCTGACTTGGAGGAGGAAAGCCTTGGGCTGGCACCCCAAGTGCTGTTCATGCAGGCTGGGCTGTGGTGTGCACATGAGGCCCTGGACCTGCCCTTCTCTCCCATGCAGCCATCCTGATGCCCTCCTTCCCCCCCCCTTTCAGGGAACACCTTTCCATCCGGGGCTTTATCTGGTGGATCCGCTGCCTTGTGATCAATGTGGTCCTCTTCATCCTTCTCTTCTTCCTCACCACCCCTGCTATCATCATCACCACTATGGACAAGTTCAATGTCACCAAGCCTGTGGAGTACCTCAATGTAAGGCCTTCGGAGATGGGTGCAGGATGGGTAGCATGGGAACCACCTCGAGGCAAAACAGCCCCTGCAAGGGGAGGGGGTAGGGAGAGAAATTGTCAGTCGTCCCCAGGTTCTGTCAGCTTGACCATGAGGGAGGTACCGAGCCTGGCCAGGGTGCAGTAGCCCCTGAGGTGCTGGGGACTCAGCACCAGCAAAGGCTGCTGTAGCTGTGGCTGGTGCAAGGGCTGCTACGCTGTGTAACATGCGGTTTCTTCTCTGCCTCGTTGCAGAACCCCATCATCACCCAGTTCTTCCCCACCCTGCTGCTGTGGTGCTTCTCTGCTCTGCTGCCCACCATTGTGTATTACTCTGCCTTCTTTGAAGCGCACTGGACCAGGTAAGGACAGCCAGCGCCTGTTCTTAGTCATACCAGCATGCTGCCTGACCGCTAGACACTCCTCACTGGTGTAAAGCTCCTGGCTGAATCCTTCTGCTTGAATTAGTGTCTTCTACTCCAAGCATGTGTTATGTTGCACCTCTTGGAGACCTGAGGTCTGCTATGGAGAGCTGTGCTGCCAATCCTTAGCTGCTGTTGTGCAGCATGGCTGCCTGAGCAGACCTTGACTTGGGTCTACAAAAAGAAAGCTGGGAGGAGTTGGGGCTGGTCACTGTGAGAAATGCTAGTAGTGAGGGAAATTTTGGCTTGGGTGAGCAGGCAGGGGTGGTGTGCCTGTACCCATGTGTAAGTCATAGCTTTTCCAAGGAAAAATCACCTTACCTTCCCTATGGCCAGAAGCCATAGCAGCTATTTGAAGTGCAGAGCACTAGAAATGTGCTGCTTGTGAGGCACATTCCCCACAGGACATGCAATGTAAGCTTTGTTTTCTGCTCTATGTTGCAAAGACTGGTGGGGAGGATGTCGCCAGCTGTGAGGATTGCAGGTCAAGAGAGATGATTGCAGAGAGTCCTCTAAAGATATGTGGGCTGGGAGGGCCTGTGAGACAAAGTGGGAGGAACTGGGACTTGAGAACAGACCTCAGACATACTGGAGGGAAACGTACCAGTAGTGGACAGCATGGGATCCAGATTAGATGCTGAGAAGCACTTGCTGATGAGAAGGTGATGGGGTCACCATGGGGTTGGCAGGGCAACCGTAAAAGGCTAACAGTCTCCTCTCTACCCTCAGGTCTGGAGAGAACAGGACGACCATGCACAAGTGTTACACGTTCCTCATCTTCATGGTCTTGCTGCTGCCATCACTGGGCCTGAGCAGGTAGGGGTGGTGGGAAGGGAAAGCAAGTGCAGAGACCTGGAGCACAGGGAGGGTTGAGATGCATTCCTGGTTGTTCTCCTGAATCACATCCCTTCCCTGCTGCACAAGAATTCTGGCCACCATTCCCTTGGGAAGGTGGCACTTAGTTCTGGTTGGGGGGCCAGGCCAGACCCTACCTGACTGGGTCTCTAGGACCTTATTGAATCAGTCTGCAGACGCATTGATGTGTGCTGTGGTGTTACCGATAATTCAGCAAAAATTGGCACGGTTGATGGATGCATGTGAAAAGTCTGCTCGAGGTCTGCTGGTGAAGGAGTGTCCTGGTTTCGGCTGGGATTGAGTTAATATTTTTCCTAGTAGCTGGTATAGTGATGTGTTTTGGATTTAGTATGACAATAATACTGAGTGAGCAAGTGGCTGCGTGGCACTTAGTTATGGACTGGGGTTAAACTACAACAAGAAGGCACTACCCACGTCTGTGCTCAGTGCGCACTCCAAACTTTGCACAAAACTAGCGAATTCCCCATTTGAGCCAGAACTGAGTAGGTTGCACTGCTTGGCTGTGTGGGATAGTTATGTACAGGCTGCAGCAATGCTCATCTGTTTGGATGTGAGCCCCAAATCTTCCTGCAGGGGTTATAGAAGTACCCTATGGCAAGCAGCAGTGCATCAGCTGCCAGCCATCGGCATGCACTCCCAGCGCTGAACTGTGGCTGAGTAGGGAACCAGTGTGAGGAAGGAAAAACTAGGGGGTTGGGAGTGGGATGGGGAGTCCTCACTGTGGTACGGAGTTACTTTAACATTGTAGGGTGGAGGATCCACACCCCCACCCTGAATTCAGGATTCTGGTGAAGTCAGCCTCTCAGTGGTGAAATCAGGCAGCTCCCAAGACTAGACAAACCCTCTGATTGAGGCAAAAGAATAGTCCTCCATCCCAGTGGGTGACTACAGCGATGTCTCTCAGACAGATTAAAAATACTTTGTTGCATATAACCTTACAACCTAGCCAGGTAAATGCTCTCACAAGGTTTGCATTGCGACCAGATACTGTTAAACAGACCACGCTTCCTTCTGAGGACTCAGTCCCCCTGCTGTTGCCTCTGGAGCTCTGTACTCCATCAGTACCCGAGGTGCCAGAGGATTGGACGGTTTTATATCAAAAAATCAGAACTGACGAAAATGGGATTTGTTTCTCCTAAGGGATTTCTTTAATCTCTGTTGGAGGGTGCCTTATACCTAACTGGTTTCTTCTGTAATAGGAGTCAGTCACCTGTTCTTTGCACAGATGTTTTACCCAAACAGAGGAGAGAGGAAAATACTGTACTGATAAGGATCAGGGCAAAGGGAGAAGAACGCACATGAGAGTGAGAAGCTTTACATCCCTTTTTGGGTGCTACACTGTGTTTCCCAGTGTCTGATTTACATAATAGCTGGTGACACACCCCAAGAGGGAACAAAACAGTCAGTGGTCAGAGCTTTGGGTTCTTCTAGAGCAGCTTCCCCATATTTGCATGTGCCCATCTGTCTATTACTGCTTCTGACTTTTCTTCTTGCTCCCCCCTCCTTTACAGCTTGGATGTGTTTTTCCGTTGGTTGTTTGACAAAAAATTCCTTGCCGAAGCCGCTGTGCGATTTGAGTAAGTGGAGTTGGACAGAAGGCCCTTCTTTCCAATGGGGGGAGGTTCTTGTTGGCATCCAAAGGTACTGGGGGCTCTCGGCTGCTGCCCTGCAAGGGGGAGCACCTCTTGCAGCCTGCTCTCGCTGTGCCTCTCCAGGTGTGTGTTCCTGCCGGACAACGGGGCCTTCTTCGTCAACTATGTTATCGCCTCTGCCTTCATCGGGAATGCCATGGACCTGCTGCGCATCCCTGGCTTGCTCATGTACATGATACGCCTCTGCCTGGCCCGCTCAGCAGCTGAGCGCAGGAATGTCAAACGAGTATGTAGCGGGGCTGAGGGCATGTGTTGTGGCTTCCACCTGAGGTGGGAGTGCTATGCTGAGGCGCCGATGGGGCTCACCCGATGCTGTGTGTACAGCTGGGTGTGTTGTACGCCCCAGCTGAGCTCCTGGGGTCGTGCTGATGGGTCTCTGTTCCCTCTTGCAGCACCAGGCCTATGAGTTCCAGTTTGGGGCTGCTTACGCCTGGATGATGTGTGTCTTCACTGTGGTCATGACATACAGCATCACCTGCCCCATCATTGTCCCTTTTGGTAAGTGATAGTCCTTTGCCTCCCTGTGTCAGAGACTGGGGTGAGGTAAGAAGGGTCGTGTGGGAGAGGTATTCTCTGTACTGGAGGTACTGGGAAAGAGGCTGATTCCCCTCTCGGCTGGCATCCCTCCTCTCTCCCAGGGCTCATGTACATGCTGCTTAAGCACCTGGTGGACCGATACAACCTGTACTATGCTTACCTGCCTGCCAAGCTGGACAAGAAGATCCATTCAGGGGCTGTGAACCAGGTGGTGGCAGCCCCCATCCTCTGCCTCTTCTGGCTTCTCTTCTTCTCCACCATGCGTGCAGGTGAGTGCTGGGCTGAGATACCAGCCCCATCCTCCTGCAGAGCCGCTTCCCTGGCTGGGGTCCTGGCAGCTCCCAGCCACAGAGCATAGTCAGGGTCCTTCTGACACCACCACTTTGTTTTTTTCTTTGCCCCAGGGTTCTTGGCCCCCACTTCAATGTTCACCTTTGTGGTCCTTGTGATCACCATTGTGATCTGCCTGTGTCACGTCTGCTTTGGGCACTTCAAATACCTCAGCGCTCACAACTACAAGGTGAGGTGGAGTGCTGGGTGGGAGCATGGGACTCTTCTCCTTGGGAACACAGCTCAGCAGCGAAACAGTGGGGTCTCCAGGGAGGCCCAGGCTGCTCCCTGGTAGAGCTTCTCAACCTTGGCTTCACGGAGGGGATGGTTCCTGAGGCCATCCCTGCTGCCTGTATGCAACTCCTTTTCATTCGTCATCCCGGCAGTCTCTGTTTCTTCTTTTCTCTCCAGATTGACCACACAGAGGTGGACTCCATAGAAAATAGGCAGAATGGTAGACCTGCCACCAGCCTGCCAGCTCCCAAATCTGCTGTGAGTCTCTGTCCCCACCTCCATGCCCTGGCCTTGGCATGCTCCTTAGCTGGGTTTGGGAAGGGGGAGGTGACTCCCTGTCCAAGTACCTCACTCCTCACTTCTCTGAGGCAGCATCTGGAGTTTCCCAGCGAGAGTGGGAGGCAAGTGGTGGGCCCTGTGCTGCTTGCCCAAGCTGGGTGATGAAGTGTAAGCCACACGCACACACACACACACCCCCACACACCCCTACCTTCTCTGGCCCTGCCGCGAGCTCTCTCTCTTATCAGCTGGGACAGTGAATCCAACTGGGTCAGTCTCCCTTCTCCTTCTATGTCTTTGAGCCCTTGCCCATCAGCAAAGGCTGCCACCCACTGGGCTGGTCCTGGTGCCAACACAAAGAGGTCTCCGTGGTCGTTGCCATAAAGGCCATGAAAGTGCTTTGAGGACTCTTCCCTCCCTTGCCCAGCTCTCTGGGATCTCAGAGGCAGTTTTCTGAACTCCTTGGCTCACTGGCTCTATTCCAGCTACTTCCTTCCACCATGAGATTTTTTTCTAGTTGGGATCTGTGCAGAGCTGTTCACGGGGTGCATGCAGAGCCTCCTGCTTCCTTAGGAGAGCAGGGCTTGGATGTGAACTTGTAATCCAGGCTCCTTCACAGTCTCCCTGTGTCTAAGAGCAGCGGCCTCTTTCCAAAAGGAGACTCCCCTTAGGAGGCAGGCACAGCCTCGGATGGACACGTCCGCACGGACTCCGAAGTGCTGAGAAGCCCCATGCTCTCCCAGTCCCGGCTCCCTGGGGGTGCTACCTGCGCCAGGATGCTGGGATTTGGCCGGAACCGTGCTGCAGACACATCCCCTATCACAGGGCCAAGCCAGCCCTGCTTTTAACCACTCTCCTGGTACACCCCGTGAAGTCTGAGCCCTTCCTCATCTTCCCAGTATATCCCCACAGTCAGCTTCTTGCATGGCACTTTTGCATGTTGTGCTCTGCTGCCACGAGAAGCCCCCCAGGCTCATACGTGTTTCTGCTCTCTCCCCTGCCCCGTGCGCGGCCCCGGCAGAAGTACATCGCCCAAGTGCTGCAGGACTCCTCCCCGGAGGGCGAAGCGACAGAGTCGGAGGAGCAAGGGTCGCAGGACGAGGAGCTCATCAACACGGACGGCATGAATGACACGGATTTCCAGTCGTGTGAGGACAGCCTGATAGAGAACGAGATCCACCAGTAGGGACCTCGGAGGGAGGGAGGGGAAGGAGGCCCAGGAGCGGGGCAGGCTGTACGCACGGAGACCCAGGGAGAGGCACCGAGGGTGCTGGCCACTGCCCTTGCCCACCCTCCGGGGCCGCTGCCTTCAGCGAGGGCAGGGGCCCTGCCGCGAGCTCTCCATTTCCCTGCCCCTCCACCCCTGCGCCAGCCTGGCAGCTCGGCGGGCATGCTCTTTACTAGCTACCTTCTTTAGTGCATCCCCAGACCCCAAAACCCTGGGGGCTGGGGAGGAGGGGGACTGTGACCCCTGCGGTGCTGCTCTGGACCCGCAGGGAGGAGGAAGGCTGGGTGCTTTGTGGGGAGGGGCGCAGGGGGAACCTTTGGAGGCTCCTCAGCAGGCCCCACTGTCCCCTGTCCTCCTGGCACGAAACACTAATAATTTATTAGATTTACAGGAAGGTGACAAACGAAAAGCTTTAGTCAGTGTATTGGAAGTCCCCCCTAGGGAGGGGGGTGGCTTTTGTTGCACCTTCTCCCCATGCGTGCCCTTTCTTCACCCCTTGCAGCATCCCCTTGGTGTGACATGCCAGGTGCAGGGGGTGGTGACAGAGACCTCCCCTCCCACCACGGGGAAGGTGGCAGCCCGGCCTTGCAGTCAGGGGTGGCATCAGCCCGGGGAAGGGGTATGGGCGTTGGTGTGAGCCAGGCAGCCCCTTGCAGGGTGAGGGGTGCTGAGGGCATTTCTCATGGGCAGGAGGAGGCGCAGGCAGCCTCTCCCCCAGGTTCTGTCCCCTCCTCCCTCAGGGGCACAGGCAGGGGATTGCAGCATCATTTTAAGTGGCATTTTTTTTGCACATTTTACTCTCCTTTCAAACAAATCAACCTGACCCCCGTGTGGTACCGCAGCCCCCTTTGCTGCCCTGTATCTGCACAGCAGGGTCAGGCCTGGGGGTGGGGGGGGTCTCCTGGGTGCTAGGGAGAGGGGAGAAAAGGTCCTGGACTGCAGGCCCTCAGCACCCTACAGGGTGCCTGGTGATGACGGGGCCCCATGGGCTGCCTTCCCTGAGCTGCCGCAAGGTCTTCCCCTGGCTGAGGTGGTCAGAGAGGGAGGGAGCCCGGGGAGAGCAGCCCCTGGGAGCCCTCTCCAAGCAAGACCACCATCTTTAGGAGCACAAAAGCCTCACGGGGCTGTGCTGGCTTTCTTCACCTGCCCTGACGGGGTGAGTCACCAGTCACCCTGGCATCACCCAGCCTGAGAGAGCGGGGCTGTTCCTCCCCTACCTCTGCCCTTTCCCCCTCCTGGTGATAGCTGTGTCCCAGAGGCAGGCAGGGGACAAGGATGGATGGGAGACGTGGACTGGCACCTGCAGGGAGGTCTGACCCTGTTTAAAGGCTCTTTGTGAGGAGGTTTCTGGTCAGGATCAGTTGCCCTCAATTGCTTCCCCCCTCCCCTTGTGTAAAATGTAAGGAAAATAATAAATCTCCCTGCTATTGAGCTATATTTATTTCCCTCAACCCCCTGCCATCATCCTGTTTGGTGCTCATTGCAGACACTACTACCCTCCCTTTGCCTGTCATCTGCGGGTGCTGCACCGGCTCGCTGGAGCCGTGCCCTCCAGGGTCTTACAGGGCTGGGTAGAAGGGGACAGTCATTTTTACCTTTTCAATCTCCCATGCTGGCCCTGGAGCTTCAAGCACTTTAATAGATCTGAACAAGTGAAGCATCAGCCCTGCCTGGCTCTGCTCCAGGGAAGGGTGGTCACATCCCATGGCTTTTCTCCCCCTCGCCCTGCCCCCCCCGACTTTCCTGTATACCTCTCTATAGGAATCCCAGGCCCAGAGGAAAGGGGGGATGGAGGGGAAGAGATGTGGGTCTTCAATGCATGGGGGGGGGGGCACGCCACCCTGGCCCCCAGGGCGCCGCAAGGGCTGGAGCACACGCAGGTGCAGAGGGGCACAGTGAATGTCACCTGTCCCCTTCAGAGACGGGCTAGAAATGAAATGAGCATGTGAGCTGAGAGTTCCTGGTCCGCTCCCAGGCTGGGACAGGGAGGATGTTGATCCTGCTTCCCTATTCTTGCACCCACCTGCCGCCCTTGCCCCCAGTCCAGCAGGGGGGCTGGGATGCTCCAGTCTCTGTAGGTACAGCCGTGGCCCGGGGCTGCCTCTGTGGCTGTCGGGGCTCTGCCCGTGGAGAGCTGTGTGTTCTGAGTGGCACTGTCTGTGTAGAGATGTGTATAATACCCTGTATATATTTGTGTACAAAAGAAAAAAAGGAAAAAAAGGAGCTATTGTTCTTGCAGTCTTTTCTTTGTGGAAGGGGTTGGGGGCTGGGACCTGGGAGGAGAGGACCCCAGCTGCAGCAGGGATGCAGGAGCATGCGTGGTGCAAACGGAGGAGTGGGGGGTTGTGCGCTCCCCCTGTGTGAGCAGAAGCCCTGCCCTGCTGCCAGGAGCTCGGCTCTGGCTGGCTCATGGGCTCTCCCAGCCCAAAGTGCTCTCTCTTCCTCTGGCTTGCAGAGGAATCAAAGGCTTTGCTGCTAAAAGCAAGTGGATGGGGAGCTGCGCGTACCAAGGCTGGGATGGAGGAAGATGCTTTGGGAGTGGTGCAGGAGGGGAGGGGGGTTTTGCTGATAGCCTTGGTGGCAGATGTCAGCCCAACCCTGTTGTCCTGATAGCAATTTATGTGGCCTCTCTTGCCATCTCTGGTTCGGGGGGACAGCTAAAGTCTTTGGGAAAGGGTAAGGGGTGCTAAACCCCTAGAGTGCAGCTTGGCTGGGAGCACTTTCCTGCTGTGTAGCTCGGCCATCCCCAGGACACAGAGGCAGGCAGCAAGCAGCCACCCAGCCCCGAGGACTGCTCCTGCTGCTCTCTGGTGCAGGCTGGGGTGGTTCCCAGGCGGCTGCTGTGTGCTCATTCACTTGTGTACAGTGACTGTTGCTCAGAGGACGGCACAACGGAACAGTGAGGCATGGGACGAGCCTCTGAGAGATGGATGAGTGACCCCAGGATCCCAGTTCTGTTCCCACCTCACTGCATTCAGGCTCTGTGGCTTCATGTGCCAGCGGCGGAGCGTGAGCAGGGGACAAAAAGCTCTCCTTTCCACAGCAACCTGCAGCCAAAGGACCGGGAAGAGGCAACGCCTGGGCACAGGCAAAGAACCAAAGACCAAAAGAACAACGGTGCCCACTGCCAAGTCCCTGCAGGCATTGCTGCAAAGGGAAGCTTGAGGGAAGGGAACAAGGAAATTGCGCAGGTGTTTGTGCAGGTGCTTGACGGAAACAGCTCCCAAGCACAAGGCGGGGGGGGAAGGACATGGGACAATCTACGTGACAGGATTACACAGGAGCTGCCTCCTACCCCAGGAGAGTCAGCTGTGAAAGCAGCTTTAAAGGCCACCAAGGGTTAATGAGGCAAGAGATGAACAGGAGGAGAACAGGGTCACAACAAGGACGGGCACTGTCCTGGGTGGATCTGAGCAGGCAGGGTGGGCAGTGGTGGCCAAGGCCAGAGAAAAAGCCAGCAGAGCCGTTCAGGCACAAGCTCGAAGCAGGAACAAGCCCTGGCGTTGCAGGTCTGCTTGCTCCTTGTCTGACAGCACGCTGCTGCCTGCAGCTTGGGACAGAGCTGGGTGGTGACCCCAGCAGGGACCCCCCTACGCTTCCAGCCTGTGGGCAGTGACGCAGCCACCTTCTGGCTAAGATGGAGCAGCTGCTGCAGGAACCCAGAATAGGGCAGCCCAAAGCCTCCTCTGCACCAGGGTGGGCAGAACGAGCTGCCTGTGGCAGGTTCTCCTAGGTGGGGATGGGGACAGGGCAGCTCCGGTGCTTCCTGGCCAGGGCCAGAGCATTCTCTTGTGGGTACGGCAGCAGGACCATGCTACACCTGGTTTTGAATGTCCTGGTTGCCCTTCCCTCAGGCAAGAGGCACAGCTCCTGACCCCACTTGCAACCTGCTCCCTGCTTAGCAAGCATTTGCCTCACTGGGGCAAGGTGGGGTGGGTTAGAAAGCAGGCGCTCTGTGAAGCCTGGGAGAGCAGCTGGATGCCCGCTCCTGCAGTGAGGTGGTACGGGCACAGCCTCCTCAGCTGCAACCAGCCACAAGGGGAGGAGAAGGAGCCCTACGGTTGGTGACATTGGTTGTGATCACCATTTTCAGCCCTGGCACCAGGAGGATGGCAGCGCAGAGCTTCTTCCCAGGGCTGGGGCAGGTGGGTTTGGGCCAGGTGATGCCAAACTGGGCTGAGTTGAGCTTGGTCATGCCAGGCCAAGCCATGCTGTCCTGAGCCACGTTGGCCATGCTGGGTTAAGTCCCACCAGGCCAAGCTGTTCCAGTCCGTGCTGGGCTGTATCATGCCAGACAAAGCCATATTGCACCACACCGAACTGTGCGTTTCCATGCTGAGCCCCGCTGTGGCCATGCCTCTCGGCAACGGCACCACCCGACATAGCCGCACCATGAGTCACGGAGGGCACGCAAGGGCAGGCCCCATGCAGGGCAGTGGGACCTGCTCGGGATGGGCCCCGCGAGCAGCTAAGGGGCAGCTGGTGGGGTGGGTGCTGGCCGTGACTGCCAGGGCTTGCAGGATTGCTGGCCATTACTGCCTGGGCTTGCAGAAGTGATGTGCTGGGGGGAGAGCCTCCCCAGGCAGGAGGAAAGGAGAAGGGATCCCACGGTGGTTGACACCCATGAGGACCACCCTTCCACCAGGTCAACAAGCCCTGCGATGAGGCGCAGCGCAGAGCTTCACCCGGTTAAGCTGGCGTGCCAGCAGCGTGGGGTAGTGCCGTGTCACCCCCACACCCTTTCCTAGGGGAAAGTCGCTTCCTCTTCTCCTTCCAGTCCCGGTTTCCGTGTTGCACCGAGCCCTTTGCTTGGAGCAAAGTTGAACGGAGCGCTCCCAGCCCGGCGCTATCCCTCCATCCCCGGGAGCTGGGAAGGGGGGAAGACAGAAGGCAGGACCGCACCAACAGCTC